GGGGGCGGGGAGACCAGGCAGAGTGGGCCCAGGCCACCCGGTCCCACGGCGCCTGGAGTGTCCGGTGGGCAGTGCCACCCTGTCCTCCGCCGGCTCATCACACAGCTGGGGGGACCCCCCTCCTGGCTCTCGCTTCACAGAGTGGGCCTGCTGCTCAGGGCTCCCCGCAAACGGCCCCCCACCCTGCCCTGGGCCCCTCCATCCTCCGGGCCTCGGGATCCCGCAACAAGACGCCACGCAATGTGTGTGCTCCTTTATGTCAAGGAAAGGAGCCCAGACGTGTCCCCGAAGGGGGGGGGGGGACAACAAGGACATGGATACAAAGTCTGGAAAATGAGGCCGTCAGCTCGGAGGGCGCAGCCACCCAAGTTTAAGGCTTGGTGTGTACCCACCCTTGCAGCTGCTCACACACACACACACACACACACACACACACGCACACACGCACACACATGCATATGCACACACATGGCATTGGACGCAGGACCTGAGGCCAAAGGCTGCCCAAAATATTGCCACTGCATTTATTTAAAAAGTGTTGAGCCCAGCCCTGGGCAGTGTGGCTCAGTGGATAAAGCATTGGCCTGTGGACTGAAGGGTCCCGGGTTCAATTCTGGTCAAGGGCACATGCCCGGTTTGTGGGCTCGATCCCCAGTAGGGGGTGTGCAGGAGGCAGCCGATCAGTGATTCTCTCTCATCATGGATGTTTCTATCTCTCTCTCCCTCTCCCCTCCTCTCTGAAATCAATTAAAAAACAAAACAAAACAACGTCACTGAGCCCTGGCCCGTGTGGCTCCGTGGGTAGAGCGCCAGCCTGCACTCCAAAGGGTCTCGGGTTTGGTTCCTGCTCAAGGCTCGTGCCTTGTTGCAGGTTCAATCTCTGGTCCCAGTTGGGACACATGCAAGTGGCAGCCCATCCATGTTTCTCCCTCCTTCCCTCCCTCTCCCTCTCATTCTCACCAAAAATCTATCCTCAGGTGAAGATTAATCAAAAAAGGAAAAAGAAAGGCCTCCTCCAGCTGAAGAAATGACAGCTCAGAGTGGCCACTGGGTGCCTGTCCTCCACTTGCTCATACATGTCACCCAGTTCATGCCACGCCCGGCTCCTGGCCAAGGGGGCATCCCAGGACTCAGAGACCGAGGAGCCGGGGAGGGGGCTGGGGGCAGAGAGACAACCCTCCAGCCCGCGGGGTGCAGCGCCTGGGAAGAGCCTGGGGGCCCACCAGCACCCTCAGCGGGTCCCGCCCACCAGCTCAGGGCCCCTGGGACCCAGGCAGTGACGCTCCTGCCTGCCCTGACCCCCCATCTCCCAGGGGAAGCTTTACAGGGACTCTCCTCAGAGCAGGAGGCGCTCGGCCCACCTGGGGTTCCCGGAGGCGCCAAAGGGATGGACCCCGGAGAGAAACTGGGTGCTGTGACCTCAGACACCCGCCAAGGTCACGGCAGGGCCAGGCCTCCCCTCGTGTGGGCCCCGCCCGAAAGCCGACACAAGAGATTTTTCATTTTAAAAATATATTTTATTGAGTTTTTACAGAGAGGAAGGGAAAGGGATAGAAAGTTAGAAACATCGATGAGAGAGAAACATCGATCAGCTGCCTCCTGCACACCCCCCACTGGGGATGTGCCCGCAACCAAGATACATGCCCTTGACCGGAATCGAACCTGGGACCTTTCAGTCCGCAGGCCGACGCTCTATTCACTGAGCTGAACCAGTGAGGGCCGGAGGTAAGAGATTTTTAAATATATATATATATTTTATTGATTTCAGAGAGGAAGGGAGAGGGAGAGAGAGACATCAATGATCAGAGAGAATCATTGATCAGCGGCTCCTGCACCACCCCCACTGGGGATGGAGCCCGCAACCCGGGCATGTGCCCTCGGCCAGAATCTAACCAGGGACCTTCCAGTCCGCAGGCTGATCCTCTGTCCACTGAGGGACACAGGCCAGGGCCGACCTGACCAATAGGTCTGGGATAGTCCGTGGTGTGGAGGCCGCCAGGAGCGGGAATGGCTCGCTCCCTCCCCAGCGGGTCCTTCCGGCCGAGCAGCATCGCACTACCACGCGGGGCCGCGGGATCCGGGGCTTCCGTGGTCTCACATCTCGAAGCCATTTTCTTCCAGCCCGACTGACGTCATAAGCTTCTTCCAGTCCCGCCCCGGGACCTCATGTCCGAGTTCACAATCAGCCTCTTGTGGCTGAAAAGAGGAAACCAGAGGAAGACGGACTCACATTCCGGAAGGTGCGTGTGGCCAGGACCCGGCGTGGCTCCTGACCTGCCTGCAGCTCATTCGTCCTGGAGCCCATGACCCTGGAGAAGGGACCCAGGACCCGGGGAGGCGGCAGCCCTGGGGCCCGGGGATGGGTTTGCGGAGGTTGGCCCTGCGCTTGCTCTCCGGCTCCCAGAGGCGGTGGGGCCGCAGGACAGACGAGGCTGCGGCCAGGGAGCCTGGCTGGGATGGAGGCCTGGGCGAGTTCTGCAGCCTCGTGGCCTCGGGCTGCCGGAACTTTGACCTGTGACGTGGGGAGACCTCCCAGAGCTGCCCGAGAGGATGGGGTTCCAGAAAGCACCTGGCGGCCTGGAAGGTGTGGCTCAGTGGTTCAGCATCGATCTAGGCACCAGGAGGTGAGGTCCTATTCCTTGTAGAGGCACACGGCTGGGTTTCAGACTCGATCCCCAGTGTGGGGCGTGCAGGAGGGAGCCGATCCATGATTTTCTCTCATCATTGATGTCTCCCTCTCTCTTCCTCTCTGAAACCAATAAAATATATGTTTAAAAAGAAGTCCTTACTCTCACACCAGTCACAGCAGCCCACAGCCAGGAGGGCCCTGCTGGCCGAGGTGGCAGAGCATCCCTACCAGCCACGCGTGGTTTCCTCAGAAAGGCGCGAGCGTGCTCACACCAAGCACCGCGACCTTCCTTTAGGACCAAAACTTATCCGGGAAGAAGGCCCGTTTCCCCAAGGTCATCGGAGACGGTGAGCGAGTGCTGAGGCCACAGAAAGTCCCGCCTTCAGCCCGGACATCACCGCGGAGCAAGAACCCGGACGACTCACCGTCAGGGCGGGACGTGTCCGTCACAAAATCCTCATTTATGTTCCTGAGGAGAGAAGAGAGCGTTGTCCCAGGACAGCCCTGGCGGCCTCGTGGGGGCGCGGCGGTGGCTCCCAGGGTGGCACCCGGCAGGCACACTCGCTGAGTCTCAGTGCCCCTCGGGGTCACTGTCCCCGTGGACAGGAGGTGGGGGGGGGACTGCAATGGGTTGAGTCCTGTCCCCAAAGACATTGGGGTCCTGACCCGGAGAGGTGGACGTGGCCGGATGTGGAGAGAGGAGGCCGCAGGTGGAAGGAGTGAACGGGAGGCCCTGGTCCAGCAGGACGGGTCCCCCCTCATGGACAGACACGCTGGCAGGGAGGACGCAGCGTGAACTGGAGGGCGGAGCCGGGGACTTCCACACGCCCAGGAAGCCCACAGATCGCCCGACACCACGAGCAGCAGGAGGCCAAGGCCCCTCACAGCCCCAGGGGGGACCGGCCCACGGACGCCGTGACCTCAGCCATGGCCTCCAGGGCCGGGAGACAGTGAACGTCTGTGGTCCCAGCGGCTGGTCCGTGGCCTGGGCTGGGGCGGCCCGGGAGGCGCAGACAAGCACTGACAAGAGCCCTAACGGAGCGCACTCAGCAGGTGCTCAGCAAGCGAGCCTCACTGTCCCCCTCCCCGCCCCCCCGGCCCCTCACCTGCTGGACAACGGAGGCCGGCGTCCGTCTTGTCCTGGGCCCGGGCCCCCGGGGCAGCGGCAGCAGGAGTCGGGGGCGCAGGCTCTGGGGCTACCCAGCCGCCTCCTGTCACCTCCACCTGCAGCTCCACTCCTGCCCCGGGATCAGGGTCGGGGTCAGGGTCGGGGTCGGTATCAGGGTCAGGGTCAGTATCAGGGTCAGGGTCAGGGTCGGGGTCAGAGTTGGGGTCGGAGTCGGGGTCGGCTGAGGGTCCCGGGCGGGTCAGGGCACTGGGCATCGGGGTGTCAGCCTCCTCTGGCAACAGTGGCGTTATCTCCACGCCCAGGGCCAGGGGGCCCCTCTCAGGGTCGGTGGGTCGCAGTATCGCCTAAAGGACAAAGCCATTCCTGTGGTGACAGAAGCCATAGTACAGCCCCTCCCTCCCAATCCACAAGCCACGCCGGGGTGGGGGTGAGGGGGGGACAGGCCGCGATGCTGGAGGCTCAGCCTGGGCTGTGCGTTGAGAGAAAAACACTTCATGGGCTCAGGTTCCAGCTCTGGCCTGGCTCAGTGGTTGAGCGTCAACTTATGAACCAGGAGGTCAGGTTGGATTCCGGGTCAGGGCACAGGCCCGGATTGCGGGCTCCATCCCCAGTGGGGGACGGGCAGGAGGCAGCCGGTCCATGATTCTCTGTCATCACTGATGCTTCCACCTTTTTTAAAATTTTTAAGCCTCACCCGAGGATATGTTTCCATTGATTTTCAGAGAGAGTGGAAGAGAGAGGGAGACAGAGAGAAACACTGATGTGAGAGAAACACATGGATTAGTTGCCTCCTGCACGAACCTGATCAGGGCCCGGCCGGTGGGAGCCTGCAACCCAGGTACCTGCCCTTGACCAGAATCGAACCCAGGACCCTTCAGACTGCAGGCCGACGCTCTATCCCCTGAGCAACACCGGCCAGGGCATCATCGATGCTTCTCTCTCTCTCTCTCTCTCTCTCTCTTTCTCTCTCTCTCCCCCTCCTCCTCCTCCTCCTCCTCCACCTCCTCCTCCTCCTCCTCCTCTCTCTGAAATCAATAGGAACATTATTTCTTAAAAGACAGGGCTGAATGGTGACCCAGAAAGACATGTCCCCGTCCTACCCCCCCTGTGAAGGGGCCTCATCTGGAAATGGGGTCTTTGCGGCAGAGGCCCCACAGGGTGAGAGCGCGCCCCAAACCCAGTGACGGCCGAGTGTCCCTGTGAGGACTGCTCAGAGCGACGCCTGGAGGAGGCCAGGTGAGTGCGGGGGCCGAGGAGCGCCCCGGATGGCAGCACCCCCAGGGGAGGCGGGCAGGGGCGGAGGACCCCCCCAGAGCCTCCCAGGGAGCCCACCCCCCGGCCCCTGCGTTGTGGGCTTCTGGGCCCCGGGTCGGGGACAGTAAGTTGCGGTGTTTAAGCCCCGGGAAACCCGTACAAAGCCCTTGGCCCCTGCGCCTCCGATCCCACCCGGGCCCGACCAGGGGAGTGAAAGTCTCTTTCCAGCTGACATTCGGGGCTCAGGGTAAAGGGGTGCAGACGCCGCCCCGGAAGCTGAGCTGTGCATGCAGACGGGGCCCGGCGGCCTCCCCGACCCTGCTGTCGCCCCTGCCCTCCACCGGGAACAGCCCAGGGAGACACTTACATGGCTGCCTGGCTCCCCCGACGTCGCTGAAAATCAGACAGAAGAAAAGCAAGTGAAGACACGGTCATCGCGCTTGATGCCGTCGGTCACTGACGGGCCACCTGTCCGGGCCTGACCCCACCAGAGGGCAGTGCAGCTGGACTCCCATCACTAGTGACAGGATCGCATCCTGGGGCCACCACGCGGCACAGGCCTGCTCGTGGCGATGCCGGTGCGAGCAAACCGCCCGCACAGCCAGTCGGGCAGACATGTGGCAGATAAAGGCACGCACCCCCCGGATACTGGGGAACAGTGAACAACCACAGTGAAGGCCTGGGGGGGGGGGCTGGGAGGAGGGCACGGGGAGAAGTGGGAGAGATCCGAAATACGACCCACAGGGCACGGGGCTGCCACTGACATGAACCGCACTCGGACTTCTGAGGCCAAGGCCTGGGATCCACAGCAGGGAAAGCACTTACCGGTCCTGAAACGGCACAGCCACTGGGGAAGCAGCACCCCTGTGGGCACACGGAGGGACGTGAGTGTCCTCGGTGCACTCCCCTGCCCCCCGACCCCGGGTGGAGCAGCCCCGGGCTCTCCCTGCTTCCCCACCATGGCCGCCCCCATGTGCGCCGTCTGCAGCCCTGCACCTGGTCAGCGGCACAAAGCACACGGCACAGGGGCCCCGAGTGAGAAAGTGAGCCCGGCCTGGCCGTGTGCCTCAGTGGCTGAGCATCCACCTACGAACCAGGAGGTCACGGTGCGATTCCCGGTCAGGGCACAGGCCCGGGTTGTGGGCTCCATCCCCAGTGTGGGGCGTGCAGGAGGCAGCCGATCCATGATTCTCCCTCATCATGGATGTCTCCCTCTCCCTCTCCCTTCCTCTCTGACATCAATAAAAATATATTAAAAATGAATAAGAAAGTGAGCGCAGCTGTGTTTTAAATGGAAAACGCTGGTCAAGAGCCTGCCGGGACCCCGGCCGCGCTGCTGCTCTCCCGTCCGGAGCGCTCTCCTCCGCTTACCTCTTCTTCTCCGCCAGGCGATGGCGATGGGGATGGCGATGCCGATGGCTAAGGGGATGCCGATGGCAACAAAGACCACCACAGACACAACCAAGGCGCTGACAGCCAGGGAACCGGCTGGGGGTCCTGGGGGCACAGAGCGCGGTAGCGGGGAAGCACGTCCCTCGTGGAAGGACTCGCTGCCCGCAGGGTCCGCCCTCCCAGAAGAGGGCGAAGGTCCGGTGCCCCGGGGGGGGGGCTCTGGGGCGAGCGTCACGGACTCCCGGCCCGGAAGGCAGGCCCCCCCGCCGAAGGTGGGGACGAGGGAGAGGACCCCATGGTGACTGCAGGAAGGCCCGGCCAGGTGGCCAGAGGGACAGGGCAGGGCCACCCAGGAGCCAGCTGCTGAGGCCACTCGGGGGCTGGTCTCCCCCGGGTGACATGACAGCACCCAGCGGAGCCACCACAGGGACCCGGGCGAGGGCGGGCCCATCAGAGCTGTGGCCCCGGCGCCGGGCCAGCCCAGGAGGTGGAGGGACAGCAGTGACCCTGCCACGGGGCCTGCTCCTCCAACAGCTTCCTGAAGTGTATTTATTTCTCATGAATCCTCGCCCGACGACATTTTCCCATTGATTTTTTTAGAGAGAGTGGAGGGGAGGGAGGAGAGGGAGAGACAGAGAGAGAAACGTGGATGTGAAAGTGTGAGGGACACATCCATGGGCTGCCGCACCCCCCGACCGGGTTGGGGATGGAGCCTGCAACCCAGGGACGTGTCCTTGACTGGGAATCGACCCACCAGCCTTTGGTCCACGGGCTGAGGCTCTAACCACTGACCCAACCAGGCCAGGGCTCTGACCACTGTGTTTAATCACAGATTAGGTCCTAACTATGTTCTTTTTGTGGGGGGTGGGCATTAAATGTGCTTTAAGCCCTCCCCCCCGCTCCCCCCGACCGCCTGGCTCAGTGGCTGAGCGTCGACCTATGAACCAGGAGGTCAGGGTTCGATTCCCTCTCAGGGCACAGGCCCGGGTTGCGGGCTCGATCCCCAGTCGGGGGTGTGCAGGAGGCAGCCGGTCCATGATTCTCTCATCATGGATGTTTCCCTCTCTCCCTCTCCCTCCCTCTCTGACATCAATAGAAATATATTAGAAAAGAAATAGTGTTTTCTTGGCACCCGGCCACGCACACCCACCCCTTTCTGCCTGCAGCCTCTTTTCTACGGGGCAGAGCTGAGCACGGACCCCAGCCCAGAGCCGGTCGGCGCCCTCTGTGCACAGGCTGGCTGCCGTGGAGGAGGCGGGGCCGCTTACCTGGCTCTGGCCGGGCTGCTGGGGCGCACTCGGTGTCCCTCGTGGCGTTGCAGGTGTGGAGGGTGGCGCCGGGACAGCTGAGAGGAAGGAGTGAAGGACCCCGAGCATCACTTCCCGGCCAGGCCGGCCCCGCCCCGGAGGGCCCCGGGCTCCGGCAGCCTGTGCCGGGTTTTCCCAGACCATCGGCCACGCGGCTCCGGGACCGCTGAGAGCACAGCGAGGGAGTTCGGGGCCCTGGGGTGCGGCTCTGAGGACTGCACCTGCTGGAGCCACAGCCGCACCGAGAGGGAGCAGCCCCGAGAGGAAGCCCATGGAGATGGGCAGGCAAAGGAGTCGAGAGAAGCAGAGCCCTGATCCAACCGGACCTGCAGGCGTCCCCTACTTTGGACTTGTCAGGTCCCAGGGCCACAGTTCACATGGTCTGAGTTGCACTGAAGGGCCCACAACGCGCCTCACAGAATGCGCTGCTCTGCCCGCCGGGGGCTCAGGGGATGAGCATCAGCCTAGGAACCAGGAGGTCACGGTGCGATTCCCGGTCAGGGCACAGGCCCGGGTTGTGGGCTCCATCCCTGGTGGGGGGCGTGCAGGAGGCGGCCGATCCACGATTCTCTCTCATCATTGACGTTCCTCTCTCTCCCTTTCCCTTCCTCTCTGACATCAATAAAAATCCATTTCTTGCCGAAACCGGTTTGGCTCAGTGGATAGAGCGTCGGCCTGCGGACTGAAGGGTCCCAGGTTCGATTCCGGTCAAGGGCATGTACCTTGGTTGCGGGCACATCCCCAATAGGGGGTGTGCAGGAGGCAGCTGATCAATGTTTCTCTGTCATCGATGTTTCTAACTCTCTATCTCTCTCTTCCTCTCTGTAAAAAATCAATAAAATATATTTTAAAAATAAAAATAAAAAATAAAAAAATTTAAAAATTAAAATCCATTTCTTTTAAAAAGGGAGCTATTTTGCCAGGGGTTTCACCGCTGTCATGTCTCTCAGAAGGTCCCCCCATCGAGCCCACCCGGGACCTCAGGATGAACCTTCTTAGGAAATCTGTGCGTGTGATGGTGCTAAAGGGAGGCCATCTCGGAGGAGCCGGGCCTCCCGTGACCAGCGTCCTCCTAAGGGGAGTCTGTTCGCAGGGAGCAGCACAGAGACGCAGACAGGAGGCGGCGCGATGGTGGACAGAGCAGAGGCCGCAGCAGCAGGTCTAGGAGGAGCGCCAGGGGCGCCGCCACCCAGAGCCCAGGAGGCAGGAGGGTCCTCCCAGAGCCCGCGCGGGGCTGGCCTTGCAGCTGGGACAGGGCGCGGGGCTCACGGCTCTTCCTCTGCCCAGAGCCGCCTCCTCTGGAACTGTCTATGGCTCCCACCTGCCCTCCCTCCTCAGGCCTCTGCCGTCTCCCACAGCCCTGCCCTCCACCCCTCAGGGACCCGGGCAGGTTCTGTGCTTTGGTGGGATGAGCGGGTGGTGGCTCTGGGTGGACGGAGTCCTGGCCCCAGGGGGCCCCCGGTGGGAACAGCCAGGACACTGGTTGGATTTCATCTGCAGGCGCCTCCACGTGGCAAGTGCTACCAGGTTACAGATGGGAGAACCGAGGGGCAGCGGCAGAACCCGAGGCAGACACGCCACTGGGGGTGGGGTGGGGGGGCCCAGGCTGAGCGGCTGCCTGCGCCCCGAGGCCGTACCTGGTGCAGCGGTGGCAGCCCTCCAGGCAGTCCTCAGAGTCACAGTAGAACTCCCCGGTCTTGCACTGGCACTTCCGGTCCTGTTTCGGGGTGCAGTCACTCACCATCTCCTGGTCTGCGGGGGGAGGGGAGGCGGGTCAGGCACCAGGGCTGGGACTCTGCCAGTGGACATGGGAGGCTCCCGGTGGTGCCACCGCACACTGGCCGGGCTCTGACACACGGGGGGAGCGGGTCCCGGTCCAGACGGAGGCGGGCGGGCGGTGGGGAGTGGGGTAGGCCCGTGGGAACGTCACCCACTACACCCAGTGTTTCCTCCGAGGCTGGCACTGACCCCCCGTCTCCCGTCGGGCCAGGATCCCCACTGCCCTGCCCCCCACGTGCGGCACCGGCTCTGGCGGACGTAAGACGGTCCGCCTCTTCACTCTCAGAGACCCTTTCTTTTTCTTTAATTATATTTTTACTAGAGGCCCGGTGCACAAAAATTTGTGCACTCGGGGGGAAGGGGGGGTCCCTCAGCCCGGCCTGTGCCCTCTCGCAGTCTAGGACCCCTCGGGAGATAACGACCTGCTGGCTTAGGCCTGCTCCTGGGTGGCAGAGGGCAGGCCCAATCCCTAGGTGCAGCCCCTGGTCGGGCTCAGAGCAGGGCTGATTGGGGAGTTGGGGCGCCACCCCCTGTCATGCACAGAGCAGGGCGGATTGAGAGGTTGTGATGCCACCCTCAGTCACGCTCAGGGTAGGGCTGATTGGGGGGTTGGGGCACCACCCCCTATCACACTCAAGGCAGGGTCAATGGGGAGGTTGCGGAGCCACCCCCTGTGATGCACAGAGCAGGGCCAATCAGGGGGTTGGGGCGCTGCCCCCTGTCATGCACAGAGTAGGGCTGATAGGGGAGTTAGGGCACCGCCCCCTGTCACACACACAGCAGGGCGGATCAGGGGGTTGGGGCGCCGCCCTCTATCACCCACAGAGCAGGGCCGATCAGGGGGTTGGGGCACCGCCACTGTCACACTCAGGGCAGGGCCGATGGGGAGGTTATGGCTCTACCCTGTCACACACAGAGCAGAGCCCGTGGGGGGTCGGGGGGGGGGGTTGGGGCGCCACCCCCTGTCACACACAGAGCAGGGCCGATCAGGGGGTTGGGATGCCACACCCTGTCACACACAGAGCCGCGGGGCGATCAGGGGGTTTGGGCGCTGCACCCTGTCATGCTGATCTGGTGCCAGGAGGCCTCGTGGCTCCGCTGATCCCGGTGCTGGGAGGCATATTACCCTTTTACTATATAGGATAGAGGCCTGGGGGCCGGCTGGTTTGCCCTGAAGGGTGTCCTGGATCAGGGTGGGGGTCCCCACTGGGGTGCCTGGCCAGCCTGGATGAGGAGATAATGGCTGTTTGCAGCTGGTCACACACCCTTCAGGGTGGGGGTCCCCACTGGGGTGCCTGGCCAGTCTGGGTGAGGGGCTGAGGGCTGCTTTCAGGCTGGCGGTTTTGACTGAAGCTCCCAACCGCTCCTTTTTTTCTTTTTTTTTTTTCTTCTGGGCCAGCTTTAGCTCTGGCTCTAGCTCTGAGGCTTCCGCTGCTGGTTTGTTTGCCGTTCTATAATCGAAACAATGTATAACTTCAGCTCTGAGATCCCAGCCGGCTATATTTGTTAGAATGTTTCAAACTGCCAGCTCAGAGGCCGGCAAGTCAGGCGGGGAACGTTGGAGTCTGCAGTCACTGGAGCAAGCAAGCCTCACGTTCGCTTCCAGCTGCCTGGCTGCCGGCCGCCATCTTGGCTGACAGTTAATTTGCATAAGGATATGCTGATTAGCCAATGGGAAGGGTAGCGGTCGTACGCCAATTACCATTTTTCTCTTTTATTAGTGTAGATTGATTTTTTAAAAATCTTTAAGTTTAGACCTTTGGAAGCTGCTTTTTTTAAAAATTTTTTTAAAATATATATATATTCTTATTGATTTCAGAGAGGAAGGGAGAGGGAGAGAGAGAAACATCAATGATGACAGAGAATCATTGATCGGCTGCCTCCTGCACACCCTCTACTGGGGATTCGAAACCTGGGCATCTGCCCTGACCGGGAATGGAACCCTGACCTCCTGGTTCGGGGGTTGATGCTCAACCACTGAGCAAAGCCGGCCAGGCCCCACTGATGTTTTTAGAGAGAGTGGAGGGAAGGGGAGAGACAGAGAGAGAAACATCGACATGTGAGAGAGACGGACAGTGATAAGAGCCTCCCTCCCACAACCCAACTGTGGCCAGGGCCTGAGCCCGCCATGAGGGGTGTGCAGCCTGCACCCCTCAGGGCCCGGCTGACCCGCACCCACTGAGCCAAACGGACCAGGGTGTTCTCACTGATCTTCCGAGAGAAGGGAGAGGGAGAGGGGGAGGGAGAGAGAAAATTGATGATTGAGACACTGACCGGCTGCCTCCTCCCGCTCTCGACTGGGGATTGTACCAGCGACCTAGACACGTGCCCTGATCCTGCTCCACAGGACGACGCCCAAGCACAGAGCCCCGCACACCAAGGACCTCAGGGCTCCTTGTAGGCACGTCCACCCCTGAGGCCTGGTCCTCTATGCCATGCCTGCGCCTCTTTCCACTGCAGCTTATTTTATTATTATCACTAGAGGCCTGGTACACAAAAATTTGTGCACTTGGGGGGGTCCCTCAGCCCGGCCTGTGCCCTCTTGCAGTCTGGGACCCCTCGGGGGATGGCCGCCTGCTGGCTTATGCCCACTCCCCAGGGGATTGGGCCTAAGCTGGCAGTCAGACATCCCTCTGGCAGCCCGGCAGCCCTCGGGGGATGTCCACTTGCCAGCGGGGAGCAGGCCTAAGCTGCAGTCAGACATCCTTAGCGCTGCTGAGGAGGCTCCAGCCATCATCACTGCTGTACTGGCAGCCGTCAGCCTGGCTTGTGGCTGAGCAGAGCTCAATCTGTGTGAGTGCACTGACCACCAGGGGGCAGCTCCTGCATTGAGCATCTGCCCCCTGGTGGTCAGTGTGTGTCATAGTGACCAGTCATTCCCAGTTGCTCTGTTGTTAGGGTCAATCTGCATATTACCCTTTTATTATAT